AGGGGAAACCTGAGAACAGTTGTCAGGATAGTTTCCTCCAAAGATCTTCACCGGATAGACAGGAGGGGTATGGTCTTCCCCAACTGCATTTCAAACAGCCCCAGGAGGACTCTCACCTTCAAGAAACTCGTGCCATGCAATGCACACAGTCAGCATCATGCTATAAAAATACCACTCTGGCAGCTGGCAACACAGATCTCTCATTACAATGCATACCCGGGACTGAAAAACCACAAAAAACAATTATGTCTCATGGCAAAGGGGTGTTGCACTGGACCCAGGGGAGAATGACTCAAATGCTTTGCAGTATGGATGCGACCCCTGCAGGCATGGCTGGTGGCATGGTTTTTCTCTGCAAAGCAGTCCACAAAAATGGCACTGACATAGAATTTAAATTCCCTAAATAGAGGGTCTTGACACTATTGAGAGAATGGGTTCAGCCACCATGATTAGAAAATAAACCCACTCTGTTCCAAGACCATGACAGGCTCAGGTTTGAGATGTCAGCTGAAAATGTATCATAGGAAAATGAAACAAAAGAAACACAAAAGTTCTGTGGTCCATAAGGGACCCCCCATTGATACACACTTTTGGATTAGTAGAACTATGAACAAACTGTGAAACTACAAATACATTCTCATTTTTAGTCCTTAATATAAAAATCTGTTAATTTTTTAGGAGATAGCACAATATTCAGAAAAGTATTATTAAAGCTCTGTATAGTTTCTCCAGAGAATGTGGTTAATAAAATGAGTAAGTGAACTATAAATTCACACCCAAAAGGCATAAAAAAACCAACTTGAGAAAAATAATAAACACAACTACGAAGCAAAGAAAGTTTATCTAGCAAGTCTGCACACAACAATACTGAATTTCATACTCAGAAATTCTTCCAGCTCACAATTTTTTCAGGGTGTTTCAGCTCTGAGGACAGAAAAAAAGGCAGAATGAGCTATAGCTTACAGTCTCTTTTCCTGCAACTGCTTTAGAAAGCAAGAGAAGGAAATAGCCTGCAAGGTGGCTGAAGAAATTTTTCTTGTTAAAGATCAAACCTGTCAAGTCTGTGGTCTTCCAATGGGAAATAAATTCTTTGACATAAAACATTGTTTTGCAAGACCACAAAAAACAAAAAGCAAATTTTTGGCATTTTAATTTGGGTGCAGATATATTTTTTCTTTGATTTTCTAAAAGGAGTTTTTCTTAGCCAAAGTTATGACTTCTAACTGACATGTATGTAACATAGGCATATATTGAAATCAGGTGGAAATTTAGATGTAGTAAGCCATTATCTGAGCTGGGACAGATATATTTTAACCTCAACTGTGATCTTCTCAGCCTCAAGGTGTCACTCATTATCTCTAATCAAGTAGCATCTTTAAAGACCTCATTTCATACCATGCAACATATATACAAAAGAGAGGATCTCCTTACACTGAAAACGTTGATACAATTTTACTAACCAGAAGTTGAAGGAGAAAAGAGGAGATGCAACATGCCCAAAGTCAACAGGCAGGTCACTGTGGAGGTGGGAATAAAGCTTGTTTTTCCCAGCTCGCTAGACAGTACCCTCGCTGTTCGGAACATGCTGCCTTCTCAAGGTCTTTCTGCACAATGTGGAGTGGGACTTGGGTTTTATGTAAGACTTTGGCTTGAAGGAAGCATGTACTTCTCACAGCAATGGCCAATGAATAAGAGAACAAAGGAAATGCTGGAAGGGCCACTTCGACCTTGAGACTTCACTAATACAGCCAGTCATTCTCATCCTCTACAACTCTACAGCCTGTGGGAAGATAGTAACAGATTTTTCTCCAAGATTTGTGGATCTGCTCTGTACATAACCCAACTTGTCATGCAGGGCCTCAGGGGCTGGGATTTCCCTACTAGCAGTAGTGTGCCCATCAGTCAGAGAGTTACCAGAGGCTGTAATGTGTATAGTATTAGCCCAGTTTTATTCCTCTGATTGGATTACATATGGCCAGCTATAAAAATGCTTGTGGCTAGTACACATATTACTGGCACAGTGGTGTCCTGGGCACAATGAAATCTTAAGTATTCCACTTCATATCACCATATGTTTTCATTCAGGCTGGCTTAGTTCTTGGAATCAAAAGCAGCCCGCTAGTCAATACACAAACACATGTAATGTCAATACAATAGCAATAATAATAATAATAATAATAATAATAATAATAATAATAATAATAATGTGCCTGTATTTGCCTTTTATACTGAAAATGAGTGAATGTCTACTGAGAAAGCTCTTACTCTATCAATAATAGTAAGACATATTCAGAATATTCTAGTATCAGACAAACACGGTGCTTTGGAAGAGGAAGAAGTTGATAGAAAAAGAAGAAAAAATGGCATAAAAACTGTACCTGTAAATTAATATTTGGACCTGGGCTAATAGGAAGAGTGGCTGTGGCTGTTGCAAGTGTGCGAGTGAGAAGCTGGTTAGGAGGATGGCTGCTAGGTGGATGTGTGGCCTTCCAGTAGGCTTCCAGATAGTCAGCAAGGTGCTCACAGGCATCTTCAAGCTGGTTCTCATCAAGTATTACATCGAACATTTCCTGATAAAGGAAAGGTTTTAGTGAGAATAACCACCAGATAAAGGGAGATCACCTAGAGACACTGATGACCACACTTCCCATTCATCAAAAATGAACCACATTTCTAATACTAAGGTTAAGATATTTCACAGTTTTTGTTTTGGTTTGGTTTGGTTCTTTTAATGAATTGATACAAAGGACAGCAACCATAACTAGCACTAATGTTATGCTTGCTAAAGTAAGTCCTCATGGCTTCCATTTAGTAATGCAGTCAATGAAAAGAGGAAGAGGCAGCTTGAACAAATCTTAAAACTCAAGTATCCAGGAAGGGTCAAATATTAAAGTTTTTAGCTATTGGAACAAAATGGAATGGCAGAAAGAGGGATTCACTCCCCATATCTAGAATAATTAAGAGAAAACCAAGACAAACTAAGAGCAGTAACAGTAAGAAACACAAGTAATACAGATCATCCACTTTCCAAGTGTACAAATACTAGGTAAGAGGTTAGTCACATGGTCTAATTTTAGGCATCTAAACTTAGGAGGTGAGTTTCCTCTGTTGCCTTCCAGGTCAGGGAGAAAGAAGCCCTCCTGAAGGCAGCTTTGAGAACCTATGCAGCTCTCTAGCACTCTGCACTGGCTTCTTGGGGCTGTGAGAATACCAGTCCCTTAACTGATACCTGAACCCAAATGCTGAAAACGTCCCCCTCACTCAGTTCCATACCTATGGCAAATTCCCACATCTGCAACTGAACTGAACCTTTATTTCCTGTTCTCTTACCTATACTCTTGACAGTCTCATTGTCATAATCACCTTATAGGTGGAAGTTTTGCTTCAGTGCACATCAGTGCACTGCAGAGCTGTCAGATGTGCCACAGCTCTTTGCCAAAACCATGACCAAGAATGCCAGCAGTGATGGACTGTGGTGACATATGCCCACACCACCAGCCTTACCCGAAGCTGCCAGAGATACAGCACATCACTAAGAGGGTTCATTTTCAGACCAATAACCCCAACAGAGTTATCAAGTAAAACAAATGCTCAGTTTGTTCGAGTGGTGAATGTGTTCAGCCCATATACTAAAAACTCCTTTGACTGGGACCACTTTTTCCCTGCTCCCTTGTGCAGAGACCAGAGACCTCAGGAAGTGTTCTGCAAAAAAGCAATAGTGAAATATGGCCAGAAGAGGGCAAACATTGCCAGAAATTATGTAATTAACCTTGCACTTTTTAAAAAAGGCACCTTTAAAAGACAAGGCATTAATTATCAAAAACTCACAGGAGGGCACTGTGCCAGTTTATCAGCTGCCACCATCTGAACATTAAGGTGTTTGGCCTGAGATTTCCCTCGAGATTTTATTAACCTCTGTAAAACCTGTGAAAAATAAGACATTTATACAAGTGAGCAGGCTTCAACTTAATGTACATACATAACCAATTAAAATGTTCACATTTTTAACTGTCCACTTGAGCAGATAAAATTCTTCATTGTTGGGTTCATGAGTATTTCCCATACTGTTTAAATCCAGAAAAAACTAATTTTCATTTATGTCCCAGTACCTCCTTTCCTTTTACGAGTAATAAAAAGTTCCTTTCCTATTTTCCTCTGCTGCTTCTGGTTTTGTTTGTTGCTCAGTGAAAATTCTTTAATTGCACTCCTGGGAGTTCTTCACAATGCCCCTTCACAAGGTCTGTGCAGTTTTTTTACACAGAATGAAAGAGTCCATTACCAGGGGAAGTTAAAGTTTACCAATCAGTCTGATATTCATTATGTGAAAATATTTATTTCATTTCTCTATTATTTTGATTTAACAAACTGTTAGCATTACTTACACGATTGATACTGAAAGTGCAATCCCAATTCAAAAAAAAACATTGAAGCTACAACATCTTTACCAAAATGGGTTTTGGTAACACCAGAGCTAATGTACTTTTTTGATTAGTAATATTTCACTATCCAAAGAGAAGCAATAAAATACATAGCTCTGAACCTTAATGAGGACATGTGATTATCTGCATTTAACACCAAAAAAAAGGGAAAAAATATTGAAACAGCATGAATATAAGTAAAATAGTTACCTTAGGAGAAGAAATCTTTACATATACTATAATGGGAGCCAGAGAGGTTTTGCTTAGTTGAGCTGGGTGGTTAATGGTATCAGCATCAAGCACTACCAACTGAAGTGTCCTTGCTAATTCAAAAATCCGTTCAATTTCACTTTGAACTTCAGCTGCAGATAAGTAGAAAATTAGAGTTATGAAAATATTACAAAGCAATTGGTTTTAAGAAATGTAAAAATGTGGTAAACTGGTGTGTTGCTCTTCCTCAGGCTGACAGGAGCCATTAGCCATGCACATCCCTGGCACATTAGGGAAATGAATATGATGTTAATGAGAACATTTTGCCCCTGGTTTATTGCCCTTGCAGGCAACACTGCCTGCCTTCTCTCACCTCCACTGCTTCCTTCAATCCCAGCCTAGAGACTTTCTTACTAGACCTCAGTCCATGTATGTAAGCAAAACAGAGGTAAGAATGCCTGCTGCATCACACGGTAATCTTACTGTGTCATTAATTCTCTACATGTAAATAATTTCAGCTTAGAATTTAATCTTATGTAGTAATCGATTTGCTTCAACTTATCAAAGCTCTGGAAAACAGTTTCTTTCACATACTGGCCTCAGTATGGTACAATATTAAAAAATTGATTCCTATGTGTGAAATAATGTTTTTAAAAATTCAGTAATCCAAATAATGCTATGGCAGCCTTATCAAAACCCCAGGAGCTCTATAAAGGTAATTTTCCCAGAAAAAAACTTTTCCTCTGGTAACTCAGGTGCCCTGCCTCAGCACCCTGCCTGACTGGCAGTAGTTTTCAGGGCAAATCTCTCCAAGGCAGATGGACTACATCCACTTTCACAAGTGATGTAGAAACTGTCTTATTCCCAAATGAAACAAAACTAAATCTTGTGACAGCAAAATCATCCTTGAAATGGAATCACATTTTCCTGCTCAAGTCTTGCTATAGGCTGACATCACAGAGAATTTACAGAAGTTGGATGATTTGTACAAGATTATAAAGAAAGTTATAGAGTCAGACAAGATTGGAATTCCTATAGGTTCTTGTTTAAAGGTTGTACTCCATGAACCAAAACCAGAGTATATATCTAGCCCATTCAAAGTAAATATTAGGAGATAACCAACAGAAACTTAAATGTCAACAAAAAGTACTAAAAGAATTTATTTATTAGAGAGTTTCTTGAAATTACACTATCAGCATTTTATCTGTTATGCTGGCACAAGCATTACATTTGTTTGTAAACACAGTCTATCTGGTCTGGCTAGAGAGAGTTTTCTACAGCGAAAGGTAGAAACCTTCCAGAGGTGTGAAGAGATTGATTTTTGTTATCTTAGAATAGCAACTGTATAAATTAGGTACCATGATAAGGTTGCAAAATTTACAAAAGAGAGCAAAGCATCCCAGCTAGTCTCCATTTAGCTCAAAGTCTTTTGGTTCCAAACCAATAGGTGGCTACTATGATCATTTTATACATGAAGTAACATCTTAAATGGCCATCAGAAACTCTATATATGATGCTTTCTGTTGAAGGAGGTTGACATTGTTTTGGATCTACTAGAGATCACCTCCATCAATTAGTAGTTATCTGGAATTTTGGCTGAGTATATGCCAATCAGTCTTTTACAGCAAAGAACATTAGGAGATGTGCACTGCGTGCTGGTATGGAAAGCATTGGTGTGTGCTTTCTTGCTTGTTGATAAAAGCACTGTATCCCAGCTGCTGTCTGAAATAGGACCATGTTTTTGAAGACGGGACTTCTGATGGTTCTTGGCACGTTCATGATCACATTTTCTGCAACTCTGTTACACAGAGATATTGTTGGAATGACTGAACACCATTATCTCCATGATTTAGTAGGAGATAGTCCATAGTCTATCCCTAATTTAAGTCCAAATGACAACTAGAATAAACATACCAGAGATAATTTGTCATACCATTCTGATGATGAGTTTGGATCACTTTTCTGCAATTTCAAACCAGGCTCAACACTTCAGTCACTATAACAATATCAGTTAATGTATCATTTTAAGACCATTCCAGACTGCTAAAACCCCTTGTTCAAGACAATTTATAACCAGCAAAGTCTGTCTTTTTGCCAGTGTATCATAATTTTGTCTGGGAAAGCAGTATTTGCTACACTGCTGGAAGCACTTTTCTACTGGTATAGAATACATCTCTGTGAACTACATTTCCTGCTATACTTTTTGAAACAACCCTTTGCCAGGGCAAAGTATGCCTCAGGGTGTCTTCTACTGTGAAACATACCCAGGGCAATAATTGCAGGTAACTATGCTGCTATGAACCAGTAGCTTCCACTTGAGTCCAAAGATGGGTATCTTTTCCATCAATTAAAAAGTATTTAAGTACTTATTTTTCTTAACTTGGGTATAGGAAAAAAGTTCAAGGAACTACACTGCATGGTTGATGAACTAATATGTTGTGTCTCTACTTCTCCAGTCAAGAATGGATGGAAAAAATGTCACAGAGACTGCCAAGAGGTCCTGATCTCCTGTCCTTTAGAGTATTTCTTCAGCTTCTGAAATAGCCTGCATTTTGTTTTAAATCCTCCTGTATTCTAACTTGTAACTACACTTAAGATTGTTGCAGTTATTTAAATAACAGTAGCTTCTCTTTTTAGATGAAAAAGGCTTTATCTAATGCTGCAGCTTTGGTTTTCACTTTTATTTATGTATTTATTAAAAAAAAATTCTATACCTGTAAAGAATCTTTCCTAACAAGACACTCAACACAAATTTTCTCTCAGACTTTTGACCAAAGTAAGCAAGGAACCCTAAATGTCACAAGGGGATAGTAACACAAATGCCACAGGTAGCTAAAATGGGGAGCTGAGAACAATGACAGTGTGGTATCTTCAAAGCAGTACAGTAATAGCTTAGCAATCTTGGCACCTCCATGAATATAATCTATTTATAACATTCCTTCTGATGTACTGGAAAAGCATAACAGTGAGGCTGCAACAGTTAACTGAAATAAATTTTATTTGCCAATCAAAAGGAGAGCCATAAATATAATAAGATCTTATGCGACTATCATCATGAAATGCTGGCGGGCAGCTACAACACTCGAAACCAGAAATAAGCTATCAAACTTTAAAGTGACCCTTACAATCTATTTGATAGGGTCTCCTTAGTAATCAGAAAGGGAATATATTTTAAATGACAGAAACACTCAACTATTTATTCGATACAATAGAGAGTCAGCTCTAAGAAACAAGAGGTAGACATCTCCCAGCCAACTTTAAATATTGCACATTTAAAGTTACTCCCATATAATAATTCCAAATATCCCTACAAATATCCCTACCCTGAAATTAATAGAAATTCCATGCAATGAGAGCACAAGTAAATGACTCATTACATTATGGGGCAGACAAATATTCCTTACACCAGTTGGACCTTACAAGTGACTTTCAAGAAAAAAAAATTAGCATTTCATTACAATAATCTCATTTAAAGTAAGGCAAACACAGAGCAACACTGCATTGCATCTATGTCAATTCACTAACAACAAGATGAACTATGGTGGAATTTAGGGCCACTTATACAATGCCACAGTAAATGAACATTCTCTACTCAGATGGGAAACACAACCCTCCTTCAAAGCTGGGCAGAAAGCATCCATCACAGCCAGCAGTCACTGGGACACCCAACTTGACAGAGCAGTAGCTACATAACACTGTTTTAGAAGACTTTTCCAGAAGACTCTGATGAGATGACAGTTCTATGAGGGGGATGCGATGCAAAATGGCCATGGTTCTGGACTGCAAAGGCCAAATTAGAAACCACACAATACTGCTTATACACAGGAAGGAAGTTTTGAACTTCAGCAGG